GGATGGGGGGATGTGGGGTGGGGGGTGTGGGGCTGGGATGGAGGTATATGGGGCTGGGGGTGAGGGGATGTGGGGTTGGGATGGGAGGGGATGGGGCTGGGGGTGGGGGGTTATGGGGCTTGCATGGGGAGGTGTGGGGCTGGGATGGAAGATGTGGGGCTGGGATGTGGGGTATTGAGGGGCAGAGCTCCAGTCCTGCACTACCATAGAGTCCAGACCTCCAGAACCACTGAGTGCAGACCTTCTAGCTGCTCACTACCATAGATTCCAAGCCTCCCAATCTCCCAGCCCGATCCTACCATAGAGTCCGGACCTCCAGCCCTGCTCTACCATAGAGTGCAGACCTCCAGCACCATAGAGTCCAGACCTCCAGCTCCACAGCTCCCAGCCCCACACTACCACAGATTCCAGACCTCCAGCACCATATTGTGCAAACCTCCAGCTCCCAGCCCCACACTACCATAGAGCCCGGACCTCCAGCCCCACACCTCCCCACACATTTCCCCCCCCCTCTCCCGCAGGCTTCACGACGGCCGCGTACCTCCGTGTCCACGCAGCCAAGGACCACGGCAGCACGCAGCCCCACGGCGCCCGGTCGCTGCGCTGCCGCCTCTGCGGCGTCCATTGCGCCACGGCCGCCCAATTGCGAGGCCACCTGCAGACCCACGGCCCCGCCCACGACGCTTCCGGTCCCGCCCACGGCACTTCCGGTCCCGCCCACGACGCTTCCGGTCCCGTCGCCGCGGCTTCCGGCCCCGCCCACTGCGAAGGGGGAGGAGCGGCGGAGTTGGGGTGAAACGGCGGAGGTGGGTGGGGCTTAAGACAAAGAGGGCGTGGCTTAGAAATGGGCGGGACCAAGAAAGGGGCGGGGCTTAACTGGGCGGGGCTTAGATGAAAACGGGCGGAGCTAGGGAAGGGGCGTGGTTTACTACTAGCCCTGCGGTGGGGCGGGGCTAAGGAAAGGGCGTGGCCACGAGCTTGCAAAGCTATTGGCTAAAGAAGGGGGTGGGCGGGGCTTCGGGCGTGGGTGTGGTCAGTGGTGGGTTGAAGCTGTGCCGGTAAGCTGGCTCAAAGGGGGTGGGGCTTATTGGGGACGTGGCCATGTGCGGGAGGAGCTGTTAGAGGGGGCGTGGCTAACTGCGAATGTGGGCGTGGTCTGAGGTGGGGCGGGGCTAAAGAAGGGGTGTGGCCACCAGGATAAATGGAGAGCTATTGGTTGAGCTGGAATGGGAGGGGCTTTTCCAGGGGGGGCGTGGTCATTGATGGGCAGGGTGTTGAGGAGGGGGGCGTGGCCTGGAGGGGGGGCGTGGTTTCAGGGCGGGCCCCAGAGATGCATGGGCCCGTGGGGCAGCACAGCGTTTCTCCCCACAGGTTTGGGGCAGCGCTGCCCTACAGCCGCCCCATGGATCCTCCCCACCCCTATGGGGCACACGGAGTGGGGGGGGGGGGCACAGTGCAGCTGGGGGGGGCTGCCCCATAGATCCAGGTCGGTGCCCTATAGATGTGTGGGGCTGCCCCATATATCTGGTTCGGCCCCCCCCCATAGATTCAGATTGTCACCCATATATATGTGGGGCTGCCCCATAGATGTGTTACATGAATTCAGGGGGGCTGCCCTATAGATCTGGATTGGCGCCCCATAGATGTGTGGGGCTGCCCCATAGATGTTGATCAGCGCCCCATAGATCTGGATCGACGCCCCGTAGACACCAGTGACACCAGTTCTGTAGGGCTGCCCCATAGATCGCTGTCCCATCCCCATAGATCTATGGGGCTGCCCCATAGCACTCCCAGAAGCCCCTCCCACGGGTGTTCCGAAAGCCCCGCCTACTTTTAAGCCCCGCCCCTTTTTAAGCCCCGCCCCCCTCAATAAAACCGCGCTGCAGCGCCTCCCCGGGAGAGAAAAAAAAACCGGAACACGGCAACCGGAAGTGATGATTCTTGTCGCCGCCACGAGCCGGAAGTGACGCAAAACGTCGGCGCCGCCACCGGAAGCGCCCTCACCCACGTGGCGCGGCAGAAAGCGGAAGGAAGTGGAAATGCCCCAAAAGCGACCAAAAAAATCGCAACGGGGGGGGGGGGGGGGGGGGGGGCGGCGATTTGGGGCTGTTTTGGGGTCTTTTGGGGGCACCCAGGACCCATAGATCCCCCCCCCCCTTAATTAGACTCCATTTGGGGTTTCATTCATTCAATATGGGGGCCCTATGAAGTGATGGGGTTCCTATGGGATCTCTATGGGGTGATGGGGTGCTTATGGGGTGTCTATGGAGCTCCTATAGGGTAATGGGCTCCCTATGGGGTTATGGGGACCCTGTGGGGTCCCTGTGGGGTGATGGGGTCCCTATGGGGTCCCTATGGGGTTATGGGGTCCCTATGGAGCTCCTATAGAGTGGTGGGGTCCCTGTGGGGTGGTGGGGTCCCTATGGGGTGATAGATTCCCTATGGGGTCCCTATGGGGTTATGGGGTCCCTATGGAGCTCCTATAGGGTGATGGGGTCCCTATGGGGTTATGGGGTCCCTATGGAGCTCCTATAGGGTGGTGGGGTCCCTGTGGGGTGATGGGGTCCCTATGGAGTCTATGGATCTACTACAGGGTGATGGGGTCCCTATAGGGTCCCTGTGGGGTCTACGGAGCTCCTATAGGATTATGGGGTCCCTGTGGGATGGTGGGGTGTTTATGGGGTCCCTATGGGGTTACAGGGTCTCTATGGAGTCTACGGAGCTCCTATAGGGTGATGGGGTCCCTATGGGGTGATGGATTCCCTATGGGGTCCCTATGGGGTTATGGGGCCCTGTGGGGTCTCTGTGGGGTGATGGGGTCCCTATGGGGTCTCTATGGAGTCTATGGAGCTCCT